GCAGTTATTACCGTAAATAAAAGTACGGTATTAACATAAAAAGTACGGTAAACATACGGTATTTCCAACAGAATTAGCAAAGACTTTGAGTTGTGCAAGGACAGCCTCCATTAAATTACATATTGAAGATTACTATGACATTGTTCAATGTAAAAATGTCGTTTTAATCTTTTTACAGCACATGTTCTTCAAAGGGACCTAGTCTGCACAAAAATACAAGCCAAGACCTTTTTTTTAGAAGCTAGGTACAATAAGGACCAGAGGATGATTAAAATAATATGATGAGGACCTTTTTTTTAGAAACCCGACAAAAATATTACACAATATAGTACAAAATAATAGTGTACGGTACTGGGAGGCCATGTAAGGTAATTTGAATTGCGCGGTACGGTAAATGAAATTTGAAAAATTGGCAACTCTGATTTAACAATAAAACTTTTAGTTGAGAGTAAATTCTTTCTGCTGGCTGCTGCAAAAGAATGGGGTAACGATAATAAACTGCAAATTAATTTTTTTATATTAGGAAACATTGGTTCGTCCAGTAAATTTTTTATTTCAAAGATGTTAGCCCAAAATTCACTAGAGGTAAATTTTTGTAATTGAATGTTTCTTTAAAGTCTTGAAGGGGTTTACGTTATTAAAAACAAGATATAATTATGCTGAAATGCTGGAGGCTGGTGGTAATCTCCTACTTAAACTAAAACCTGGCCCTATCTTGGATTTGTTCAAACAAGAAAACGGACATAATGTATAGATTTCTAAAATTTTTTAATTATGCGCTCTGAAGTTTAGATAGAACCATTCATAAAATTTCGATATTTAAAAAAAAAAAGATTTTTCCTTTTTCTTAAAAGTCGTAATAACGTACTGGTGTATCTTTTTAGTAATAGATTTGTTACAATTGTAATATCAACGGCAACACTGTTTATAACTGACAAACTGACCCATAACCTAGGATTTTTTTTTATAAGTATACTTGCTGCGTTTGAGAATCCACATCGGATGCATTTTTTACATCTCGAGCGTTTTTTTATCCACATCGGACACATCTGTCCCATTACATTTACGTATACTGAATCACGTGATCAAAGATTTTTTACATCTCAGATGCATCCGATGTGGATTCTCAAACGCAGCAACTATACATACCTAGAACAGAAGTAAAAGTTGGAAATGCTTTTGCCAGTTCTCCCACTTTATACACATAAATTGACAGGTTGGCAGCGGATTTCACCGAAGTGGACGCGATACATTGGCGTACAAAATTATTTTATAGATGTTAATAACAATTTCCAGAAAATAGTTTAATAAATTGTGAATAGTTGTTGAAATTTTGTAAAATTATGATTTGAATATTATAATACATGTTTAATAATTATTTATAATCCATAAATACATGCGATTCTCCGGTTCCGCCGATAACAATTTAAAATTACTTATTCTATGAAACGACACTGGCAGGTAAACATTACTGCGAAATTCTCGGAGCCGTCCGACGTGGTTTGACGTTTACCCCCTCTCTACCTACCAAAGGACTTTTCAACTTTTACTTTCTCTTTACCTAATAGGATCTTTAAGAAACCGAAAAAATCTTTTAATACAGTTTATTCATATAGTTTTTTGCTGCACAACTTTGCCCAGACATAGTAAAACACTTAAAAAGTTAACAAATTAACACTGGAAAACAACTACTATATAAAAAGTGTCAAAAAATATCTCTAATTCTAAAAAATAACACTACATAATACACACATCACAAACAAAATAAATTTAAGACACGCTACTGATTACGAGCTGCTGCAACTTGTTTGTTTATGTCGATATAAACGACGACAGTGACGCCACTGGCTTGATTGTGAGGTTGGACCAAAGAAGTAGAGAGGGTAGAACGATAAGGTACCGTCTGCGCATCCATCACGAGTGTAGAAATTATGCGTGATTCAGCCTTCCACTCTTACACACGTAAATGACAAGGAGAGGTTGCCCTAAAGCACTGTAAACAAATTCCAGGATCGACTTTATTCAGCGATTATGTTCATGTTCAGCTCTGTTTTTTGTTTGTGTTTTGGCTGTTTTAAGCTTTTTTGGCGTCAATTCTTTGTTATCTTGCTTATATTTATGATTTTTTATGCTTTTATTCCGATTTAGTATTAAATTATACTTGTTAATTATTTTTCGATGCACTATTTTATAATTGTTGCACAAAATGTTGTTAAACCGTCCCTGAATTTTGTTTACAAAATGTGCAAAACGAAATTGTGCATAGTGTCCAGACTTTTTCATTGACAGTTATCATTCTACCCCTCTCCACTTCATTGGGTTGGACCCATAGCCCTCAGAAAGTCTAGATACCGCTTGGCGTATGCTGTCAATACAAAAAAATTACCCCATTCAAGCTTGTCGCCATGTTAGGTAAATTTATGTTTTGGCTACACTGATTTTTAGTTTGTGTGTTCTGTAATACGTGAACACCGATAATCTGCATTTTGTTATTAGTTATAAGTGAGTGAGACGCACAATTTCTAATTTCAAATTAAGAACAAAACTTTGACACACCTATTTGATTTTCCTAGATCTGTTCAGACAGGACCGGTTTTATAAAATTTCTCGTTCTTGAAATGTTATTTTTACATGGTTATATATTATTGGATAAGTGGTTTGTGTACATATTGCTATAAGAATTATAGAGAAATTCAGTGAGATTTGTGTAATATAATTCAAATTACAAGTAAACCATCTGTTCCTGTTTGGCAATATGGAGAAAATACCTACTTCAATGTCAAATGTACTATTTAAAAGAATGTGATTGTTAACCGGTCATTTATTTATATTATATTATGAAAATAAAAACTCGAATTTTTTAACTAAGGAAAGATATACTTACATCGGTAACAAGGTATTTTTAGAAAAACTAATAGATTACTCCTATTCCTATAGTTTATTTGAAAATGAATAATAGCAAAATTATCTAAAAATATGGACCTTTGCCATAAAAACTGTGCTACCAAGCATTTTCAAATAAACTATAATGATAATTTGATTTAATAGAGCGAGTATAAGATCTCACCCGTTAGAGAAATTGGGGCATAGGGAAGAGATTATGAAGCAGGTAAGCAAAGTCATTGCAAAAGATAAATATATAGAAGTTATTTTAAAAATTTGATAAAAAACTAGTGGAACAACAAATGGAGTTGTCGCTATCGGAGATCCAATCAGCAGAAAGTAAAAAAAAAACACTTTGGGAATGTTGGAAAAGGGCACAACAATAGGCCCAAAACAATTCCTTGGTTTTTTCATAAATATAATCTGAGATGCAAAAAATACTGCTAGAGTGGAGAAGTAGTATTGTTCTAATGTAGAAAACCCAGGGACATACAGCAGTGCACTAACCATAGGCGAATAGTCACTAAATTATACAAAAGTCCCATCTCAATTTTATTTTTAAATATTTTTGAGAATACCTATTATTATTTGTTACATTGAGTTTAATAAAACCACATATTTCGAATGTATTGAAAGTTATTTAAAAAGTACCTCTATAAATATATAGAAAATGTGTATATGACTAACTGGTTTTATTAATCTTTTTTTGGGGTAGGTAAATATATTTTGAAAAATTTACAAACTTCTTTTGAATAAAAGACAAAATATTTCTGTTTTTATTAACTGAACAATATTTTATACGAACATAATATTTAAAAAAAAAATATTACATTTTACAAGTATCGCATATTTATATGAAATAACTTACTCAATAAGAAAGAATTAAATAAAACAAACTAATAAACAATGGATATGAAAAATTGCTTTAACAATTTAATCCTTAGATAAACTTATTCTTACATATTGCTTTAATCAATTTATTTACTATAAAAGTATATTTCCTATCATTTATTACATATAATAAAATAAAGCATAAAACATACAAACTATAATACGTACCTACTTAGAACGGAACTAATATTGTTGTATCAAGGTAGTAATAGTGGACATTTTCCGAATAAAAAAAGTAAAAAAGAAGTAACGGTCGACACGTTTTTCTGACTATTGGTCTTCATCAGTATGGTGCAGCCAAGTTCAAAGGATCATGGAACTTGTGTTGGAAAAATTGTACAATAGGTCACTAACAAGGAGCCAATAACACATTTGCCGTTTCAGCTAGTATCCCCAAATTTTCTGGGCTTATACTAAAGTCACAAAATGATTCAATGGTCTTCCTATGGCTATCAGTTATTCTTTCCTAACATTTTTTGGTATGCTACAACAAAACATACAAATTATTTGATTTTGTAAATACACAAATATTTGTGAAAACTTACACATGAAATGTTATTCCTTCCTTGTATCTTCTACCGTTAGATGCATTGTTACATTCACGTACAAAACAAAAAGAGATTTTGAAAATCCTGTAAAAATTTAACACCAAACCACAAATGTTTTTTATTAAAATAAAACACTAAACGACTAAACTAAAAAATAATGTTTTAAATAAAACCTTTACTAGAAGAACAAAATAAACAACACAACAGATAATAAAATCGATTATATACGTCGAACGCCGATCTTACGCTTATTACCAAACTTGCGCCGATTCTGTCTTTTGTCAGTACTGCCAACTTAAAATTTATTGACATTTATTTATCATGGCGCCCATCATATGGGGGGTCAAAATGTTTTTACGATGCGGTATCTAGACCTTCTGAGGGCTATGGTTGGACCCCAAAATGGCGGTGTGCGCGTAGCGTTGCCGCCAAGACAAGTTAGCCTGCCGATTGTTTCTTATGCCGTGCTAACAACTCCATAGACGTGTTGCAATGACGGCAATGACTTTTCGACTCAAATCGCACCAGTTGTACGACATGTACGACAAATCGTATCGTCTATGGGCCGTTTTAAGTTTACATTCGACCTTTGATTATATGGCGTGTATACTACTATGCCTGGATGTGAAAATAAAGAAAACTACAAAGTAATGAAAAAGTTTACTCAAATATAAGAAATTATGGCATCATCCTGAGAGCCCCATCTAGTCTAACAACTTCTCCATTTAACATTGGATTTTCAATAATGCTCTGAACCAAATGTGCAAATTCATCAGGATTTCCTAATCTTTGTGGAAATGGTACGGATTTTGACAAAAATGCTACTACTTTTTCTGGCAAATTTTCAAACAAAGGAGTTTTAAACAAACCTAAAACAAATAAACACAGCACTTTACACTAATTTAAATGTATTTTTAATTTTTACCTGGAGCAATGGTCACAACTCTGATCCCCTGTCCCGCTAAATCTCTAGCAATTGGTAAAGTCATTCCAACTATAGCTCCTTTACTAGCCGAGTATGCTGCCTGGCCCATTTGACCATCAAATGCTGCTATACTTGCAGTATTTACCACTACTCCTCGACATCCTTGTTCATCTGGTTGGTTTTCACCAATCAGTCCTACAGATAGTCGAATAACGTTGAAAGTACCAATTGTATTCACCTAGAATTGTAACTTATTTATAAAATTAAAAACATTAATGAAACAATTAAAAATATACCTGTATTACTTTACTAAAATCTTCCAATGAATGTGCTTTTTTCTTATTAAAATTGTAGATTTTGAAAGCTACTCCAATACCAGCACAATTAACTACATTATCTAATCGTCCATACTTTTCTTTTGTTAACGACAAAGCATTATTTACATCATCTTCTGAAACTACATTTACTGGTGCAAATATAGCTTTATCATCACCAAAAGTTGCTGCAAGGTCTTTGCCCTTAGATGCAGGCAAGTCACAAATTACTACCCTGGAGCCCTGTTTTACTAATCTTTCTACTGTTGCTTTTCCTAAACCTGATGCTCCACCGGTAACCAGACTTACTGCGCCCTAAAATAGTATTCATGTTTTTATAGGCCCATGTTACTGTTCGGGAACCACGTAAAGTGTATAAAACAGGTGTTTTAATTAATTAAGAAATATCTACAATTACGCTTGCTGGCTCATAATCTCATAAAATCTACAATGATCATTGCAAAATTCATTTTTTGTCACACGTTTAAACGGTCTATTCGACAATGTTTCCGGGTCCTGGTATAGGTTGATTAGTCACTTCTTAAGATCAAATTTTGAAAATAGCATTTTAGTAATTTTTTAGACTTATTTTTATAATACAATGTTGTTCTAATACCTATAAATATTTGAAAAAGTGAGCATTATTATCTTACCTTGATCATTTTCTGTAATTTTATTTCAACTTTATTTAGTATATTTAGTAGTGTTGTAAATATCCGTATCTTTTTAGTATTCGGATAATACGTATTCGGAACCAAGAGATATTCGGATTCATCATCCGGATACGTATCCATATTCCATATGTGAGAAGTCATAATAATACGCAACCGTAAATACACCGCGACATGGGGAATCGGAACCGGGCAGTGTTGCTAAACCTAGCAGAATTTGTTTGAGAGTGAAGTAGCAGAAGCTTTTAATGTTTTAGAATAATAAACTCAAGAAAATCTCAAATATTTTGTTTTTATAATAATATCAGAAATAACATTTCTCATTCACTGAATATTATTTATATTTATACAACTTTGTTACCATTAATATGCTTAGTACATGCCGACTAACCGACTACGAATTGCAACAAGGCTAGTTAGGGCGATTCCGAATTCCGATTTCGCATCGGTTGCCACCCGCAAATCTCGCAATCGGCTCTGTTATGAACACAGTATGTGAAGCATTCGATTCGTGTATTCGGATTTCAGATTTTGTTTCTGTCATTTTTGATTCCGAATCCGTATTCGAATTTACACATTGATTCCGGAATATCCGGATCCTTTTACTATTCGGATTCAACGGATTTTTGGATACGTATTCTTACATCACTAATATTTAGGTTAAAAATCAGGTTTCCTTTCTGCGTCACTCGTCGCTAGCGTCGTTTATCACCATTTATGTTTATCACATCACCTCTTTGCAATAGAGGTTAAGTTTAAAAAGTTTAAGTTTAAAGTTTAGGTTAATATAATGAGATGTGCATAAGTAAAGTGTTATCGGATTTGATACCGTTTAATCAACATAAAAACATATGTAATTAAACAATAAAAATGGCTCTTGTATCTTATGATTATGATAGCACAAGCGAAAACGAAGAAGAGGAAATCCCTATTTCTAGTGCTGTTATCCTTCCAAATAAAAATGTAGAACTGGAACCCCAAGCCAAAGATATTCTGACAAAAGACATAACACCTGATATCAGCAATAAAGCTGTTGAGGAAAATAAATACTCAAATCAAAATAGCTTATTTTCAGCCCTGCCTGAATCTAAAACTGTAGATAAGAACATAATAGAAGAGCAAATAGAGGATTTTATCCCAAAACCTACCGCAATTAAAAAAGAAAAACAAAAAGTTAAAATAAGGATTCCATCTTTATCACAATACCAAGATTTAGATGATGAACCTGATACAAAGAAATTGAAATCTTCAGCGAAAGGCAGTGGGTTAATTTCAATATTACCTCCTGTTAAAGGATATGTTAAATCAGTTACTAGCTTTGTACCTAAAGTTATTGCTGACAAAGCTAAAGCTACAGTTTCTAATTCTAGTACAAACCCTCTCCTTCCAGACAGTGTTAGAAAAAAAGCAGAAGCTAAAAAAGGTGCCATTGGTAAAAAAGCAATTCAAAAAGTGAAGGTTGTTTTAAGTGATGCTGAAAGTGATGATGATTTGGATGTTCCAGAAACATTTGATGATGAAATGTGGGAAAAAGTATGTGGTAGACCTAAAAACAAGCCAGTTATTCAAGAGCCACAGTATGAAGATCAACAAGATATACTTAACATTGCTCCAGAACCTGAAAAACCTTATGAAGGCCTCGACAATAGGGCATTTAAAGAACTTGTTGGTAAATCTAAAAGACCCCTTGGTAATATTAAACTGATTGATATTAATGAAGAAGAAATAATGGCAGATAAAGATCTTTGGATGGCTAAGTCTATGACTGATCCAGAAATGGCCCCCAGGGCTGTTATTGATGATCCAGTTGACCCCACAAGGAGAAAGAAACACCATATTACTTATTTAGCACAACAAGCTAAGGCTAATGAGCAAGACTTGAAAAATTCATGGGCTATTAGTAAGAATAACAGAATGGCAAGTAGGTCCAAATATGGATTTTAAGTGTAAGATAAATATAAGAATTTTATTTATGAGGACAATACATGTTTTATTTATAGTGTCAACTTTGTATTAATTTGGTTTATATTGAATCATTAATTTTCACTAATATAAAAAATTTACTTTAATTCAAAGTTTTTATAAATTATAAAGAAAACACAAGTTTTGAGTAAAATGAGTGTATTTTTTTTATTAATTTACAATAAATACATTATTTACATTAATTGGCCAATATAATCGGCTCTCTTAAGTTTGTTTTTTAAATTTGGCCATTGTACCAAAAAATTGTCAGCGAAATAAGTTAAAATTTTACCACTCAATGAAAATGTTTTTGTTCTACAAAAACTTTCTATAAAGACAATCCTGGTGTCGGTGATTAAAAATGATTTTAACAAAAACCCCAATGCACAAATTGGAATGCATGTGCCTGGCCCATTACAAAGAATGAGATCAGCTCTGATTTTAAAAACTAAAGGAATGCTGTAAATTATTGAAAAAATAGTTGTAAAAATTGAAGTAAAATAAGATTGATGTACTACTCTACTCCTTGGAATATTTTTTATATAATAGTCCGTCTTTTCATCCCCTGCTTTTTTCTCTTCTAATTCCTCAATTTTTGCTAAGCTTGTGGTATCACTTTTTGCAAGAAAGTAATACCTTGGTGCATATTTCTTAAAATCCAAACTAGAAACTAAAGTTAACATTTCAGTAGTGTGTCCTCCTGATCCTATACATATAATCGTTTTGCAAGGAGCAGTTCTTTTACTGGAAGCATATTTGCTGTGCCCTGTTGTGATTTTGTGAATTAAAAAGAGGACTCTGGCAACAACCAAAAATATAATTAAAACAGAAAGTTCCACTATTAAGTGAGCTAAAACAAATAAATTAGATAAGCTCAATTTTTTTAGGAGAATAATTCGCTTACTATCCATTCAATAAATTTTTGTCCCGGGTCTCAGGGTAGAACCAAAAAAATCATTTTCGTTTTTGCTTTTAGTGCTTTATAATTTTCTTATATTGGTAGCAAGTATTTTTCATCTATTATAGTGGCCTTTTACTTAGAAGAATAATGTTTCCAAATTATGTTCTTCTTCTTGTCTAATTTTGGGCCTACTGTTTAAAATCCATAAGTGTGGAAAACCCACTGAACTGTAGTTCACTGGGAAAATCTTCGCCTTTAGGTCCGTATTTATAAACAGAACTTACCTGAGTCGGACTTGGGTAAGTCGTCCTTGAAGTGCCTTGAACGAAAATCGAAATTAGGTTTGTTCTGGTTCTCAAAATGAAAACTGTTTTGAAACTGCGCCGGACCGTATGCGTAAAGGCAAAAAATCCCCGACTGTTTGAAATTGTTGGAAAACCAGAACACGTCATAAAGGTGTTTTGTTTATTGTTTATTATAATAATGAAGTTCCCATGGAAGTTCCTTTTGAAAGCTCAGCTTCAAATAACATTTGCATGTATATGTTTACCATTTGCCGCGTTTGAGAATCCACATCGGATGCATCTGAGATGTAAAAAATCTTTGATCACGTGATTCAGTATACGTAAATGTAATGGGACAGATGTGTCCGATGTGGATAAAAAAACGCTCGAGATGTAAAAAATGCATCCGATGTGGATTCTCAAACGCAGCAATTATCATCACATTTCAATGGAATAAATAAAAACAGAATAATATTAAAAAATTAATAATTCTAAAATTGCTTTAATTTACAAATAAAACAAGAACAAGAGACATTCGTCCACATATAAATAAACAATTTGGGATTGTATACGTTTCGTATAGTCTAAAAAGCCAATACAATATTCATAACACTTCAAAAACGCATGCGCGGTCAAAACAGTCCGAGTCGATCCACACTCCCAAGCATGAACACTTTTTGACTGTTTACAACAATCACGGATTATTTCGGATACGAAACCAGAACACTGGACTGAGAGATCCGAAGTAGTCCCAGAAAAACCAGAACACTTTTTATCTACTGCGCATGAGCCCGATAGTTGTGGATCGTTATTTCTCAAAACCAGAACAGACCTGTTCATTCTATAATGGCGGCCTCTTACTTAGAAGAGTAGTCTTTCTAAACTGGTTTCTTCTTCTGGTCTAATTTAATTTTTTTAAGCCTACTGTTTATAATTCATAAGTGTGGCACTTCACTTTTTAGTCACTTTAACCTCACTTTTCATACAACTTCTTCCTTACTCCCTCAATGGTATTTAATTTCAAGGCTTCCAAACAAAGATGCCACCAAAACCAAAATTGTTCAAAAACAAAAATCCAACAAAACCTCCAAAAATCAATCAAGAAAATTTGCCACAACCAAGCACAAGTCAGACCAATTCTAGCACAGAAATAATTCCAAATCAAGAACAATTTGAGTCTGAATTATGTTGGTGTATTCAACAACTTCGAACAGTTTTAATTTCAGGAAAATTAAATAATAAGCAAGGTTTAATAGTATATTAAGAACATTAAATTTTTTGTTAATATAAAAGTATTTTAGTTCAAGATTACTCAAAAGCACTAAACACATTAATGAGTAATACAGCTCCAATAGTAAAGAAAAGACAAGTTATGAGGTTGTCTTTTGGAGACTATAGAGAAAAGATGGCAGCAGAAGAAAAAAGGATGTCTAAAAGTATATTAAAGTCTAATATTTTGTATATTAATTTACTAATTTATTTTTTTTTGTTTTCAGATGCCACCAATATGAAACTGAAATCTGCCACACCAAATAAGAAAACGATATTTTTGAAGAAAAGTTTCTTCTCTTCTGCAGTAGATAATAATTTTAAATTTAACTTTACTATCCAAGACGGAAAAATAGAAGAAAGTACACCAAATATCTCTATCAACAATGAAGTCTTAGAACCTGTTAATACTGTGGATAACTTTCATTTTACTCCTTCAAATAATACTTTTAGATTTGACTTTCAAGTGGAAAATGAAAAGTGATATTATTTAAAGAAATAAAAAGTTCTTGTCTTTTATAAGGTCCTTGAACTAAAATAGAAGTTTGGTCACGTCTTTTAAAATTCCAGGTGGTTCCGGTGTTACACTAGATATTAGCAAATCTGTAACTGTTAAAGTACATTTATGGATTTGTTACTAGCATCTCTAAATTCACAGGGATATAACCGAACTTCGATTTTCGTTCAAGGAGGACTAACCCAAGTCCGACTCAGCTGAGTTCTGTTTATAAATACATCCTAAATGTTATTCTTATGTATGTAAAAAAAAAACAATGATTTATAAGTTAGTAAAATATATTATAAAAATTATTTATTTGATATAAATTGAATTTTTCTGCTTAATCTATTTGTAATGTATGCTGGGTAATACAAATTCAGTACCATTTTGGCTTCTCTTATCATATGCTCCACATTTTGTAGAAAAGCTCTGAAAAATAATGAAAAGATGTAAAAATTATACATTCTTAGTGATATAACACAAAATTTTCCAAGGAAATAGTACATGTCTGAGGATTTTGTTCAAAGGTATATGTAGTACAGACCTGGCTCCTATTTTTTTTTTTATAAATCCTTTATTTAGTCAAAAACAATTAATACATAGTCAATACACTTTCTCACTAAAAATATACAGGGTGTTAAACATATGTCCGCAAATGAATGGTTTCAGAGATACGGAGTGTTTTGTATCATTTTTTGATTATCTTTTATCATTCTCAAAAACTTGCTTTTCTTATCGGAGTCTACCGATGTTTTTTCATAGATACTATTTGCAGTTATTATTTTGTTGTGGGTGAATAATTTTATAAATTTTCGTTATGCCTGTTTACACTAATATTGAATTAGCTGACATGCATTTTATGTACGGTCGTGCAAATGGCAATGCGAGGGAAGCGCTACGTCAGTATTTGAACATCTCATTTAACTCTATGTTGTTATTGATTGTTTATAAATATCATTGTTTTTTTATAATAATAAAAAATTGTTATAAACACAAAATGGTCCGTATCTCCGAAACCGTTAATTTGCGGTCATATATTTATTAAAACTTTTCTGCTTATTTTGGGTCATACTATTCACAATTTCATTTTGTGACACTTTTTTTTTAACACCCTGTATGTCTTAACTAAAATAAATTATTAATCTAACTGTAGTCAAATAAAATATAATTAAACAACACGCTATAGGTACGTTTTAATCATCTGCTTCTGCTTCGGAATTGTCGGTTTTCTTGTTTTAATTTAACAGGTTAAAACGACTAAACAATTCCGGAAGCAGAAGCGGATGATTAAAACACACCTTTAGAATAATAATATTAATAACAAATACTTCAATACCTAAATTACCTACTTACATCTAACAAATATTGTTTTAGTTTATGTTTGAATACATTAATTCTGTGGTCGGCGCTTAAAAAGTAATAAGTTGATATTACACATTTTTAGAGAATGGCGTTGGAAAATTTTGGAACACATCAATAAGGATTTTTAGAATCCAAATCGACGATCTTTTAAGGAGATTTGGTCCTGTAAAAATTAAAAAATATGTAGACATATTTTGTTTCAACTGTTTTATGTTACAAAATTTTACTGTTTATGTTTAATTATGACGTTTTGTCTTTCGCGGTTACCCTTGTATTATTATATATGTTTTTTGTACCTTATTTTTTACTTTAGACTCAGATCCTTTTAACTGCCTAAAATATAGACTCTTCTAAACATATCTTGACTAAAAACTTCATTTACGTAAAAAACGACTTATGACCTTTTAAGCGCCAGCCACAGAATTGATTCTAATTTCTTTAGATCTTCTGGCAAGTCATTAAATTGCTGTAGGCCTTTAAAAAAGATTGAATTATGAGTATGACTGGTGATGACGGTATTAATATAAAAATCATTTTTTAAGTCTTTTATTATGGGCGTGAACATGATGGTTATAAATAATTTTATTTTGGAGATAGGTGTGTGACCTATTTTTATTTTAAATATAAACATTAATGTCTGATAAAGGAATATGTCTTTAATTGAGAGCCAGTTTAAAGATATCCGCATTTCTACAATAGGCGTCAATCTAGAACATGATAATATTATTCGCATAGCTCTATTCTGCAACTTTTGGAAACGATTTCTTTCATTTTGATTTAATAGATATAATACTGTTGAGCAGTAAGTGAAGTGAGGTAGTATTAGAAAATTAAATAAAAACAGCCTTGACCATTTAGATAAATGCTGTGAACATCTAAAATGATAATTTATTTTAAATGAAATTGTTTTTATTAAATGGTTTGCATGCTGTTTAAATTTAAGTTGTCGATCTATAATAACTCCGAGATATTTGAATTCATCTACCGTATTAATTTCTGAAGGCCCAATCATTATTTTATGACCTTGTTCGACAAAGATGCTGCTCATTACCAATTGTGATGAATTTTTTTTTTACAATTAATGTTTAATAAATTAGCACAACACCATCTATAAACAATTTTTAAGCTCTTATTAACCATTGTAACAACATCTATTGTATTTAGAGAAGAATAGTAAATGAAGGCGTCATCTACAAATAAGTGAAATAAACATTTAGTCTGAATGTCTGTAATGTCATTAATATAAATAAAAAAAAAACAAGGGACCTAGGATACTTCCTTGTGGTACACCTCGTTTTATTTTTAACTCCTCAGATACCAAGTTTTTAATTCTACATTTTGCCTTCTGTTTGTTAAATAGTTTGAAATCCATTCCAATACTGTACCATTGAACCCTGCTCTTTCTAACTTCTTTATGAGTCTATTCCTATCAACCTTTTCAAATGCCCTTTGGAGGTCCAGAAAAACACCGCCAGTAACGTATTTTTTATTAAGACCTTTCAAATCGTCCAGCACACTTTGTACCGCAGTTTCGCATGAATGCTTACTGGGCAAACCCAACTGGACTTTGGTTAAAAATTTGTTTCTTTCTATGAAAACAAGAATTTGTTCATAGACTACTTTTTCTAAAAACTTTTCAAAGCAGCTAAGCATATTGATTGGTCTGAAATCAGAAGCTTTATTAGATTTTGCAACTTTAGGAACTGGTACAATGGTGGAAACCTTGATATCATCTGGAACCTTACCAGATTCTAAAGAAGTATTGATAACATTTATCAAGGGTTTAGCAATATTATCATAGGTATTTTTTATAAACGCCATGCCTATTACATCTGGACTGTTCTTATTGGGCATTGAGAAAATAATTTCTTTAAGCGTACTAAAATCAAAGTAAATCTGAAAAGGTTACCGATATTTTCCCCGATTCATATTAATGGGGAAGTTTGGATCAGTTTTATCAATTTTATTCATAATTTAATTACCTGGTATATATTCAATTATATCTATGGTATTCTGTTCAATTTCATTTTCTCAAAAAATCCGTATTGGCCACATTATTTGGAACCAACGTTTTTAGTGTTGTATTATTTCTACAGTCATCTATCTTATTCTCATAATATTTCTGTTTCTCATTTCGTATTACCCTGACAGCAAGATTTCTTCACTCTTTATGTTTTTATTCTCTTCTGTTCTATTGCTCATAAAGTTCTTATAGCTTCTATCTCTGTCATCCACTGCCTGTTCAACAGTTCAGTTCCACAACTCTTTATATCTTGGGTAATATTAATAATTTCATTACAGAAGCGATGGTATTTTCTATTTATATCGGTGTCCCTAAAATTCCAAGTAACAGTTTCTAATTTCTGATTAATTGCAGAATAGTCTATGTTTCGGCCTCTACTTTCAATGTTTGTGTTACCACTTTAGATTTAAGTTGTTTTAGTTTAACATATATATTATACTTATTTTAGGTGTTTTTATCACGTCTGCAATCAACATAACTGTATTTGTTATTATCCAGTCTAATAAAGATCCGCCATTTCTGGTTGGATGCGTCATACATTGCAAAGAAACGTAGCGCGTAGCTATTTCGTAAATGAACCGACATGCGTTTCCTGTTGCGCTGTTGTCAGGCTGTGTAGTTTATCCCTTTCATATTTAAAAATAGTTTTTACCTATAACTCACTAATAGCAACAAGTTTTATTAATTAGAATAGTTTTGAGATATATTACAACACATCAAGCGTCCCCACTAATTCATATTCGTACCTAGTACAGTGTTTCCAACTCCGACGCATTGTGGGCCGAGATGTTGCAATATTTCCCGAAACATTTCTAATAGTAAATCTCTAAATAAAATGACTTGTAACAAAACAAAAAACGTATAAAATGTGTACGAAGTAGATTAATCTAGTTTAACTGCTTTCAGCAGACTTTATATTTTAGCAGCACCTATTTTTACACCATTAGGCAGGGCATTTTTGTACCTATCGTTTTTACATACATACGCTTGCTAAATAACAACTTTGCAAATACTAAGATAAACTGTGGCAAACACCATTATTATTCCTGCAAATAAATGCAAGGATTTTAAAAGCGTTAAACGTGACACCACCGCAATTTAAAATAACTTTGTTTCATTCTTACTATACGTCACGGACGTCACGTATAGTATTTTATCCATCGATAGTTTGCGACGTTGCGATCCAGTAAATTGTTGCATATTGGGTGTTTTTGTTAATCTTTAGACTTTTTAGGAAAAATTTCGGCTTGTGTATAGCTAACAACATGGTTCGCGAGTGCATTTTGAGCAAAAAACTGGAAATAGGGGTGCTGAAGTATCTTTTCATAAGTAAGTAAGGTTAGGTGATGATGTATTGCATAGTTCAGTGGTGTAGATTTAAAGATTTTTGCCGTAATATCCATGTATTATCTACTTTTATATTACTATTATTTTCTTTGATCTTTCAACATTATTAATTTCGCAAAAAATTGTAATTAATAGAAACACTTTAGTCTGGACTATAGTGGTAAAATAAATATGCTTATGCTTGATTGAAGAAAATGAAGGTATCTAGAGTGTTATGCTCGGAGCATTTTGATTCTAATGATATTCTTCAAAAAGCAAATATCTCAAGCCTGGAGCACTGCCAAAACTAGGTTCATTGTTTCGAGAAAGCTCATTTGGGTAACTAAAAACATTCTTAATTATGTTTCGGAAATGTTCATTTAAGTGTTTATCCTTTAAGATGAAAGTTGGTAGTTTATCTTACAAAGAATTTTTTTTATTGTAAGTTCTTTAAATTTTGTAGGTGCTTGACAAGGACAAACTTTTTTATAAACTCATATTACATGCCTCTTTCTTTGATTATTTTCATGAACTACCTTATTATTAATCAAAATGTATACTTACCTTTACATTAAAAGTTCTGAATACCTTGTTACAGCTCTGATTCCAGTATCAGTATTTTTGACAGCTCTAGTAAGAAACCAGAAGATAATTTATCTATGCCGCACACATTTATGGATGATAAGTAAGTTAGTTTACTGCCTAGTTTTACAAGTTAAAAACTATCAATGGATAGGTTTATTGTTGTACAGTTCTACGTGTTTTCGGATTTTACAAAATATAAGAAGCGTACCATTTAAAATCCCTACCTTGTATATAAGTATGGCAAATTTATTGATTTAATAACTTTTATAAATTTAGTAGTGTTAAAAATCTAAATTTTGATTTAAAAATCTCTCATTTACCAATTTGTAAAACTGTTCAAATTTTAACCCCAAAATTGAATTCGTAAATTTGTTTAAAATAAATCTTGATTTATTTATCTTGTTTTTATTTTATTTAACATCTTTATATGTAATAAATGTATTATTCTTGGAAAACAATAGTGTTTTAAGCTTTTTACCTACATTCCACTGAACTTCATACCCTTATACCAAATCTAATCGGTTTTAGAGTTTAAACCATTATAAAGTTTATTGCACACCATATCGGTTAGTATTTCATTATTTTTTTATAATTAGTTATGATTTTATCTTTAATAAGATATGCCACTGGTATTAACAGACTTTTAGTTGCGTACAACAGCAGCGTTGCCAGACGAGATTTTCGATTACAGTCTGTCTTCTTTCAATCCGCGTAAAATATCTGCTTTCTCTTTTCCGATGATTGGGACCAAACAAAAGATACTTTATGAATGAAGTGCATCATCTGTTGTTTCTTTTATCTAAGGTTATTTCCCAACTATATTTTTTAAGCTTAAACTAATTATAAAAATTTTTAAAGATACACTATTTGATGACTGAAAAATCGCCTATTATAATTACACTAGAATTTTTATCACACATTGTTTTCGCACCAGGTTTCAAAAAAATTATAAAAATCAACATAATTACTGTTTGGGGATCGAAATAGAGAAACTATTAAAAAGGTCCGTTTGTTGATAGTAATACTTTAAGAAAGAAACCAGAAATTTTTATGTACCCAATGTTTTGAATGTTTGTTACTTTGACATCTTTTATTACATATATAATAGAACCTCCAGTGTGTCTGCTATCTCCATCTGTTCTAAATAACTGATAACCATCAATGTTCAATTCAGTATCATATATTTCAGGTGTAACATGTGTTTCCGACAAACAAACTACAATTGGTCTAATTTGAATTACTATTACTTATTTCATTTAAATGAGCAGGTAGACTTTGTGAGTTTAAGTACAAAAGGAAAGAATCGCCAGGTACATGTGTAATATTTAAGTTTCTAACGTTATTATTGGAGGTTGAACTAAAAAATTACTTCTTTGATATTTCAAGTTAACTGGGATCTGGCTATCTTGGCTTTCTTGGTTATTTATTTTTACAAATCTTATGGGTCTTTGGCTTGTTTATGTTTGCCAATAATTTATCTATCAGTGCCTTTTTAGACAAAAGTTTTCCGTTTTTTTTTCACTAAATCTTACAAAATGAACAAATGATTCTGTGCATTTATTTAATTTAAAAAGATACTGGTTTAGTTTACAATTAAATTTATAAATGAATTATTCGTTAATAATAGAATCATTACAGTAAGGCACATACAATAAAATTAAATTTGTATTCAAACAGAACTTTTACTGTTTAAATTTCTAAATGATGGATACCGTTTTTTCTGAAAATTGTTTGAACCCGCTATAACAATAACAGAGTCATTTAGTGTATAATTATGTGTCAATTGTGGCAAATTTTCAATTATCTTATTATAACAAGCAAAAAGTTTAAATACAATTCCTCATCAATTACTGCATTACTATTACTGCCTTTCTATCAACGTAAATGGATTCTTTATTATTTATATTTCCGGTTTCTTTTGACGGTTTTTCGCTGGAGTCTTTTTGTGTAACAAACATTTTTGATTTTAGTTCCAATTTTAACTCATCTAATTTTCACATAACTATTACTTTCCTGTTCCAAGATTTTTATTGTCTCCACCATTTGTCTATTAATCCCATCCAGTTCCTTAATTTCTATTTTCCAATTCATCACATAATTTTACATTTCCTTGCAATTCTGTAATGTTTTTCTTTAAATTCACTAGTGTGTCCCTCTGGTCTTTTAAATTCTGCGTATCCCTGTTTTCAATTTCAAAAACTTCATCTTCTTAGGCCTGGGTCTTTTTATGTAGTTGTCCTTATCACAAAGTGTATTGTTAAGCTCCTTGATTATTAATTGCAATTCTTCAATTTTTTTTTGTTTTCATACTCTTTTTTCTCTAGGTTTTCATACTCGTTTTTCTCTAAATCTAGATTTCTTTCATTGATAATATGCTTAAGCTTAGCTATTTTTTTCTGAGAATAATCTATTTTTGTGGAAGAATTTTTATCAGTCTGTTTGCAATTATCAGAACAATATATTTTATAACCCTCAAGAGAATGATGAGATTTTTTCTTTCTAGGCAAGAAGGATGAAAGACATTCAAAAATACTAAGCATATTAAGTTACAGTATTCTTTATTCTTACAGCATTTAAATTGTCCACCCATTTTGGGTAAATGAAATTTTAAGTCATCAATTTTTTTAATTTAATTTTAGACCCGTGTTCTAGCCTTAGTGGACACTTTAAAATTTTGTCATTTGTATCAACACTATCAACTGCTTATCAGTAGGGTCAGCAGATTTTTATTGATTAACATTATTTATAGACAAAAAATAACAAATAAATAGTCTTCAACACCTTAGTTTTATGCAATTTTCAGCAGTGTTTATCTTCAGTAATTCAAAAGATTTTATCAATATGTCCGTTGTAATTTTATCTTCAATTTAACACTCAATTCAATATATTTGAAGTTCTTCTTTCATCACAAAAGCATCAGTTTTTAGAGCACTGATAAAAGGTGACTTCACCTTATTGACCTTTCTTGATATATGTATTAGTAGTAGCTAGGGAGTCGCTTGGATTCATTGCTTGGGTTCAGCCCCAGATCTAAGAAAATTTGTAAAGTTGACCTGACAACACTGCACTGCATGATTCAATGGTAAGTGCGGCCAATAATTAATAAGAAACTTAGGAAAATAAGGCAATACAACTTCTCTAATATACTGTTCAGATTGATAGTGCAATATTGTTCAGTCTGATATAGACGCGCTTTTTTAATCATGGAAGACGCAGCAAAATCTCAAAGAACAATCCTTTTATTTTTGTGTAAAGAAGGTTTAAAAACATCAGAAATTATTCAGCGTCTGTAAGGAGTATTTGGTGAGTCTGCAGAATGCAAAAGTACTGTTTATCGGTGGATCGATCATTTCAAAATCGGTAGAACATCACTAGAAGACGATCCACGCAGTAGGCGCCCAATCACGTCGGTAAATGAAAGAAACATTACTGCCGTCGAAGACCTACTGAAAGAGGACAGGCGAATGACTATTCGTCAAATTAGTGTACACCTAGGGATAGGTACACAACAAGTTCATGACATCTCGCATGATTGTTTGGGCGTTACCAAGGTTTTGGCGCGCTGGGTGCCAAGGCTGTTGGGACCAGAACAGAAACTCAATAGGTCTGATACTTGTCGTCAGCTTTAAGAGCTGTTAGCCCGTTACGGTGATGAATTTTGGCAACGAAAAATAACCAATGACGAAACGTGGATTCCTTATTTCAATCCCGAGACCAAAAGTCAATCCAAAGAATGGTGCAAACCTGAACAAGGGCATCCACTTAAGGCGCGTGCAGTTCCGTCTGTTTGAAAGGTAATGCTTACTGTATTCTGGGATTGCGAAGGGATTATTTTTATGGATTATTATCTGGCAAATGGTACTAAAATTAACGTAGAATATTATTCGAATTTATTATCCGGACCAGACACTTGTCAAAAAACAGCCTGGAAAGTTGCATAAGCGTCCGTTATTGCAACAGGATAATGCAAGACCACACACCGCAAGAAAAACCAAGGATGTTTTGAATGATTTACAATGGGAATTCCTTCCGCACCCACCTTATTCCCCGGATGTAAAAGTGTCATAAATAGGTGGATTGAGGAAACACCCAAAAAGTTCTTTAAAGACGACTTAAAAAAATTAGTTTATCGTTGGGATAAACGTATTCAGTTAAATGGAGCTTATGTTGAAAAACTACATTGTAATATTGTCGAAAATTAACAAAATAATAAAAATTATGACTGAATTCCCAGAACTTTGGAAACATACCTCATATATAAGTTAAAAAAAAAGGCAACAGGGCAACAGCTAGCTACAATAAGAAGATATCGTGGTGGGATATTAGCAGAACCGAATGTCGGTGACTAAGCCAGATTGTATGTATAGCGATAGCGGCGATATCGTAGTTGCTACATGTTCACGGTGAAATCATGCTATGTCTAATACAAAATACAAAATAAGCACCGTATTAAATTTGTATATCGTCTGAAAAAGCGGTGGTGCTTTTTTTTGTAAAATTTCTTGTTATCAGAGTTCAAGATTGAGTTAAACTTTACGACCAGCATAAAGTATTTAGATGATAGATGGTTTTTGGATCATTAAAGGCCATTTGAATGGCTAGTCGTTAAAAAATAAGCGAAGCTTAAAATTACATCGTTAATGGAAAAATGTCAGTTTAACTTGACTTATTTCTTAACGACTAACAGTGCAAAGGGACCTAAGGTAGACGAGAGGTGTAGGCAAATGAACACAGGGAGTAGAATAAAAGATGAATTGGACGGCGTTATGCAGAAAACTACCAACCCACAATATACCAGATATTAGGTTGTGTGCGGATTTGGGTAATAAAATACAAGTTCTGCATTCTGTAAGAACCTACCAAGTCTTAGTTAATTATATACCCTATAAAACTATAAAATGCTAGCCCATATCCCATAGCTTTCTTAAACAAACAAAAACTTTAGGAGCTGATTATCTCAGTTTGCTACTATTGAGGGTTGGTAGAGCTCGATTTTTTTGTGAAGAGCACATTTCGTCATAGCTATGCCACACTCAAAATAGCTAAATAAATGCAACAAGTACAAATAAGTAACACTAAGCTACTGAATTCAACTTGTATGAGCGGTAGGTGGCTTCAATCACGTTTAAATCTGTCTGACCACGCCTACAAACTCAAATTGATTTCTGCACAATATGATGAAGTGTGCTCTTCACAAAAAAATCGAGCTCTAGCTTTCTGCATAACGCCGTCCAATTGAAGAATATAAGAAAAACCTAGATAACTCACTTTAAATTGGTACAATTTTTGGGATTTCCATTCTGAAGGCAGTGAAGAATGGCTAAAGCAGCTTCATACAGTTTGGTTCCAATACCTCTAGAATTATCTCCTCTTCTTGCCTTTTCGTTTTCTAACCAGAGGTGAAAATATTTAAACATATTTTCAGCATCGCCTGTAAGAATAGTAACAATTAAATAGAATTTTATTCACTACGATATAATTATACAAACTACATTTGTAGAAAATCATCAATGAAATATGTTCCAAGAATAATATAAAATAATAAAAAAAAAAATTTCAAAATATTACACAGATATAAATAGAGTTACAAATAATAGAACTGAAAAAATTTAAAATATATAACATTATACAATTTTCATTTTTGAAATAGTCTGTACATTCTCGGAAGAAATTGCTTTAATTTTCTTTTAAATGTTTTAAATTTGATGATAAAATATTATAAAAGTTAAAGTTTAATGATTTAGATTATTGAAATTTTTGTTTCCATATATTTCCGGCTTGTCTGGTATTATAATGGTGGACATCAGAGTGCTTAAGTACATTTGCACTATTTTTGTGAATTTCGAGAACTGTATTAGTGTTGGTAATGTATAACAAATTTTTTGAAGAGTGGTTGACAGTACTCACAGTGACCAACATTCGCTATGATTCTTATGGCTTTCTTTTGCAAATATATATTAATAAATAATTTAAGGTTTTTAATAAATAAACTTACCCGATTCAACATAGTAGCTGTACAGCCGGTAATAGACCTCTTCAAAGTCTTTATGATGTTTGTAGAGGATTTTTTCTCTTATTTTTAAACATTTCACTAATAATTCAAGCTGATTCCCAACATCGTCTGTATAAACAAATTTTTAATATTATTTAGATGACACCTTTTAATTAAATTATATAAAAAACAACATACTTTGCAAATATTTTTGAGCATCGCTGTTGATTTTTCTAAAAGGTATTAATGAGTATTTGTAACCGCAGTTGATGCAAAAACTCAAGCTGGCATTTTGCAATTCAGGAATGCAACCTCTGCATTTCGGGCACAGGTAGCTGTCCAACATTTCCTACAAAAATATACAGGTGGTCTCATACGCATATATAATCCGAATTCAGAAATGTATTAAATATATAAAGTAAACACAATATTCATAATAATGCTTTCTAATTTTAATTAAAAATAAATTTTGCTTATCATAAGGTGTTTCATTAAAATTCATGAATAAGGTGGCCATGAGAAAATTTTTATTAATTTTATTAATTTTTATTATTTTTTATTAATTTGCATTAGTGTAATCATTTAAATCGCTGTAACTTCAAAACGACTTATCCCATTTTAGAAAATTTAAGCTTGTTTGGAAGAGAAATGTAAGTACTTTTAAAATTTCTGGAAGGCGCAATTTGTAATAATAACGGTTTTTTGATTTCACACAGAAAACTTAAATCATACGATATATAAATCTGAGATCAAATCTACAGAAAGTTCAGAAAACATGAAACTGTTTCAAAGGAGAATTTCCATTACCTAGTTATTATTTTAAATAAAATAATATAAAAGAAAGTTTTAACTTAAACATTTTCAAATGCAGGATTTTTTTTAGAAACTTACCACTTCTTGAGCTGGATCGCTGCAAATAACGCATTTGCATTCAAAGTGATATAGACTTCTACAAGCTATTTGGCGCTGTTCTCTGTTCATTCCACGGTAGTCAATTCCGTAACAATTAAATACTTCATCGTTTTCTTGAATATCTTCCAAAGCTTTTATAACTATAGTATCACAGATAAAACTAAAATAAAACGTGATATTTTATAATGAAGATTTTGTCATTACATATAGGATTTTTATAAGTTTAAGATGATATCATAGTAATTAAGTGCTGCCAATGGAAAAAATTAAAATTCACAATTCGCTCCGTGCGAAGTCATGGAAAGGGAAGCAAAAGCGATACTAGCGCTAGCTGCGGATAATTCGTGCATTTTAGGGCGATATTTTGTAATTTTGGCATATCAAATACACGTATGCATTTTACTTTTTTTCAAAAAAGTAGGTAAAAACAACACAATAAGCAACCAGAGTTGCTGTGTTAAAAATTGTACAAATACTAGCAAAAAAAAAACAGTGAAACTTATACAACAAATTTCACTAGCAAAGTGGAAATTAAATCAAAGAAATAAATGGATAGGTGTACAGTAAGAAGAAAAATTACCTTTATTTTTGTGATAATAACAGTAATGCTGGAAATAGTAGACATCAAAAACTTGAAAGGTTTTAAATAAACAATAAATTATCATTTTACGATATTCTTTAATATCCCTTTATTCTTAAATGTTCATTCAGCAAGGACTAGATTTCAAGATTTCTGCCTTTGATTATAATACGTGGCTGTAATGCAATTTTGTGACTTACTGATGGGGAACCAGTTTTAATAATTCATTCTATGTTTTCTTTCGAACAAAAATGAAAATATAAATAACGTTCCTTTTTTATACATTTTAACTTCACGCTATTATTAAATGGTATTTTTTATTTTGGCAGAATAGGCTAATTCTTCAATGACAACTTATTAGACTTAGGCAACTTCTCATACATTTTCCAGTAAATACTGTTGCCTGCCTATATTTTATTATTGATTTTTATTGATTATACATAATTTTCTTTAATTTAAGCGGGAAAAATATATAATAATAAATTAATGTTTTACTTGTTTTACAAATCCATATAATTTTATTGAAACTAACATATATACTTTTTATTTACGAATTCCATTAAAAATTGTATTTGTCAGTATAGGCATAAATAGTCCTTTAATACCAAAACAAATTGGCGCTGCTGTCGCGCACGGAGCGAATAGGCAGTTATTCTTCACAAGTTAAATATATAGAACAAACCAGGGGCATTTAAATTTAAATGTTTGCCAACCTTTTTGCTGCTGTCAGATTTGACTTTGAAATTTTGAAAAATAATTGACTAAATATTTGTTTCCAGGTTACAGCGAATTTCATGTATAATTATTGTTATCAATCAGAGACATCAGCAACTTCATCGCTGTAAGTTTTAGAAAAATGGTCGGCAAATAAGTCAGCAATTTCTTGATTGGTATTGTCAACTTTATCATCAAGAAACATTAAATTTGGTACTATGTGGTCTTACCAATTCAAAAATCGATCTATATGAATACCAAGAAATTTTGTTGTGCTAGTAACTTTCAGTTTAATATTAATTACCTGTATCTTTGATGGACGCTTCACCTTTGTCTTGATTGATATCAAAGTAATGTTAGTTTCTGTCTTATTAATCACTAGCTTATTTTTGTGAAATCATTGCTTCACCATTTTAAAATTATTTGCATTGTTTGTCATATCAGGATATGTATCACCCCCACTTAGTAAATTGACATTCACAGACACCATATAAATGATGAAAAAGATTGGACCTAGTATACTGCTCTGAAGTATTCCCACATTTATATTACGGCAGTGTGTCGAAATAAAACCATTAAGACTAATAATTCTGTAGATATATAGATAAAAATAAAATTTCCACTTACAAGTTAGTTACGTTTGGTCGGCAGGAGTGATTCATGATGCATACAGATGGAAACATGCCGCAGGCGATGGTGATTAAAATATCGGGAAAAAGCAGATCTGAAGACGAGTACGTCCAGTGCTCTATTATACTAGAATTGCACGACAATTGCGCGATATGTTTCGTGATGAGTCCTCCAATGTATTGTACCAGAATATTCAGATCGTTCCTGGGACAATTTTTCTGTTTGAGAAACCATGTGAAAAAGTCAGTGTGCTTTTTTAAATACGTGACTACTACCGCCGCCAGCTTAAAAAAGAAAAATAATACATTATACATATACACTGCCCAGGCAGCACACATTAGTATAACTAACGTATTTTATACGTAATACTCGTTTAATTTTGGTATTGGTTGATTCCGTATACGTTTACAGTTTACGATTATTATACATACCGTGTTTTAAACGACATATTATACGTTTTTCATATACATCCTATGGTATATAATTGTAAATTTTTCTACGTTTAAATATAGTTAACAATATACGACTATTTTTAGTTTGCGATGAACTATTTATATACAGTGGGCCTAAATATACGTTTAGGTTTATTTAAATTAAATTCGTATAAATTTACATTATATTACAATATGTTTTCTTCGTTTATAATTCCCGTTTAAATTTCGTCTTGGTTGATTTTTTAAACGTTTACCATCTACCATTTTTATACCTAACGTGTTTTAACAGATAAATTAAATGCTTTTGTTTGTCGATACTAGTTAATATACCTATATTATTCTACGTTTAAATGTAAGTCACCTTAATCGTATAATAGCAGTTTACGATGAACTAGTAGACAGAAGTAAATAATATGTATATATTCAGGTTTATTTAAATTAACAGCTTATAGATATATTTATTTACATTACATCCATATTTTTTTAATTATATTACCTGTAATATTTATAACAAATTCCCCATACACATGGAACTATTTTTAGATGGCGGATGGAGGATGACGTACTAGTGGTACGGTCTTTTCTCATTCCTACTCATGCGTATGTGTAGTATTATTGTTTAGTGTAGGGAATGGTTTGTGGGAGCAGGTTCATCGGTTGGTCCATTTTCATTTGTGTTCACGTTTTGTTACATGTTGCTTTGACGTCCTGGCTTTTACGATATTGATTAAAAGCATAGGTAAGTTTCTATTAATGTTTTAATTTAGCTACTCCTTTAATAATTGTTGCATTTTACAACAACTACTGTTTTATACGTACGTACAGTGTGTTAAATACTTATAGAAACTTCAAAACCTAACCTTACTTTTGTTTCTTTTATGTTTATACGTATTTTTTAGGTTACCTAGTTATTCCAAGCATACTTATTTTCCTTTTTTTTGGTCAGTTGTTTTTTATTTAATAAAATGTCTAAAATAACCCTGTCTCTGCGTCATCTACGTAGAAAAATAGCGCAAAATGTTCAAAATGCTTTAAAGTCAAACCAATTTTTTTTTATTCCCTATGAAGATAATATTAATAAGGCTTCGGACATTAATATATCATCTGATTCTATTATTTATAATAATTTCCAAGAAAATAATACAAATTTAACTTCGGAGCTTTTAGAAAATATTTCACCTGAAATTTAGTTAAATTTTGGTTATAGGAATGGGGGTGAACCAAGCGACTTAACCGACCGAACGATTAGGTGTGCCATGCAAGATTAGCTTAAGTTAGCTAAGGCCCGTCTAGGACACAACACATCCAAAGTGTTAAGCTAAGATTTTTATTTTCATATATATTTTTTGTTAGTTAAAGAAAAGTTTCGTTTAGTTTGTTATTCAGTATTTTACTGTTTATTTTTTTGTATATTTTAGTAGTTAATTGTTTATTTTTTTTTAATTAAATATTGTTCTGTACATATAACAAGTGATCAAAAAAATTTTCTAAATATTTAGGCCAATAACATCCAAAATAGAAACACGAGTAATGCCTATTTCTGGTGTATACACACCTGCTATGGATAAAATCCAAACTATCATTTAAGAAATATTAACATTTTTCCATGGCATCTTTTAGACATTTTGTTTTGATCACTTTATTTAATTTGTGTTTGAAATACATTTAAAACAATATCAGGTAGACGCATTTTACACATTAATAAAAATCATACAAATATATCTAATATAGACGTATAGTAAAACAGGATAATTAAAGGTAGATAAAGTAGTAATATTAGACGTATAAAAAATAAAAAAATATACGTTTATAGGGCGGACATTTTCACGTAAATATTGGATAGCATATCAACAGTATCCATACGTATATTGTAGTACATAAAAAACGTATTTTATACCAAAGTGAATTCGTATAAATATACTACAACTATAAATCTAATATAGACGTATAGTAAAAACGTTTAATTATAGGTGGATAAATTCTTAGTAATCGACGTTTATTAGGCGGACATTTTCACGAATATATTTGGTAGTACATCAACCATATTCATACGTATGGTAGTACCTAAAAAAATACGTAATTTATACCAAAGTGTGCTGCCTGGGTGGGTCTCAAAAAGTTTGCACCACATGAAAATATTTCAAAAAGAATTACCATTTACGAGGGAAATCAAAAGTCAAACATTATTTTTTTTCCATGTAGCAGGTTAAATACTGACAATTATCTTTTGACGATTTCAAATTTCTATGATTTTTAATTTTTAAATAAAAGTGTTTGTGAAAATCTACCAAGTTTGGTTTTTCTCATTCTAACAATATGTATTTTCATCAAGTAAAGGTCGAAACAATCAAGAACATTTGTTGTCTGTGGCTAATTATACTAATGCTAAAAGAATACATACTGCTTTATGAAGAGAAAGTCTCACTATCAGGAAAGTTTTAATAGATTGGTTAATATAACAAGTGTGTCCTGGCTTTTAATTAGTCAACCATCCGATAAAAGTAAAAATCTAATCATATTGTTATTTCAAAAAATAATAATTTAATTGTTAATCCAAAATCTGTTGTGGAAGAGTTCACTGAGTTTGTTTATTTTGAGATAGGGGGCTGTGATTTCATATTTGGAAGTAAATATTGTTTCTAAACAAGTTTTTCACAACATTTTTATATATTTTTTAAAGTTTTAAAACTTTACTCTTGAATCCAATGGGCATGTTTAGTAAAAACGAATTTAACGAATCTAATGCTATTAACTGTTTTTTCATGCAATAAATACTTTAAATAGATAATAAAGTTATAGTACTTTAAAAAGTTCACTTTTAAATCAATTATTTAAAACACTCTATTTTTGCGCCATTTATCGCGTCATAATGAAGCGCCTATTTCTATTGGTCACTAAAGAATCTGTGATACCATAACACATACAGTTGATCGTTATCTTTTTCTAATAGTGACATTTATGATAGTTATCTCTTTCTAAAATCGGATTAAAATTGTGACGTTTTCTTTTCTCATGATACAAAATGCCAAAGTTTCTAATCTTAAATGGATTGTGGGAAACATTGAAATTGCGTTTAAAAAGGGTAATAAAATAAACATTATTTGTTTAATTTTGCATTACATTAAAAATATCTGGTTATATTTTCAAGTACTTGGTCCTTGATAGACAGTCAATCTGATAAAATGTTTATAAAAGTTCCTCAAAATCTAGACCTAGACATTCAAAAACAATAGTGGGCTAAGGGCTGTTGCAAAACACAAACTACCATCGTGCTTTTATATTTATTTTGATGTAAATAAAGATATTCTTGAATCGTTTTTGTTTCCAATTTGATATAAATGTATAAAACGTACCTAGTTAATCAACTAGTAGGTCAATATAGGTACTACCTTTTTACTTAACACTGAGTCTGATGGTACTAATTAGTTTGCATTATTATTTGACAATAAAACAAGATGTGCCTTATAAATATATCACCTAAAATTGCTATTAAGGGCTCTTTAACTGACCCAGCCAAAAAAGGATTGAAAATTTGAATTGTATTGTTATTCCATATATAAATTTTATTAATTGCTTAAACGATTATAATAAAGCTTGCCTGTTATTTATTGTATTCTTTTTAAACAGGAATGTATAAATAAATAAATTACCTACAGTATGTACAAAAACTTAATTTATTAAACTTATGTAATGTATTATATATTATGTTCAGATACGTTTCTATTATTAATCTAAATTTAACAAAAGCTAATAGATATATTTAAAATACAATTCCTTTAAAATATGCAAATAATTTAAGTGTTTTTTTTTTATTCTGATAGTTTTGGGAAATTTATGCAAACTCCACCAAAGTAAATGCCTGGACTTCACCTATACAGTAAACTGTCAATGCCTTACCATAAATAAACCTTTTTAAAAGACTCGATTAACGGTAATATAACTTATTTTTATTTTAATTCATTATAAATATATAACACTGTATATTTGCCAGTTCTAATATTTTAACTTCCTTATTTATTTCAAAATTTGGAGATTCCACACAAGCCCATTATGTTTCTTAGAAAGTAACATTTGCAGTTGAACGTGGAAATATAATTTTCTGGTCACTTTGCACTCGATATAAATCTATTCACTCTTATTATTTATAAAAAGCACACATTTAATGTTTTTAAATTGAAGAAGAATCGACACCCTTAAATCATTAGAACTTTAAACTTTTGACAACAGTGGCCTTTTCTAATAACACACTGTGGATATGATATGTGATGGAAGGTTATTCACTTCGATGGTGTTCAGAAGCCACAACAAGAAAGCAACACTACGTTTGCCTCAACCTTAAAAAAATAGAACCATGTAAAATCATTTAATACCATATTTTGAGCTTTTTAATATTGACAGGAATTGAAATTACATTTAAAAGAAGAATATTCTGTGAATTTACAAGATATGATCTTTTCTTTTTGTTCATTTATTACTGAATAATGCTATAACTTTTTGTGTTCTGGGGTAATACTAGCTTTAATGTTACAAATGGTAACAGAACATATGATAGTGCACTTCCTTGGTAGACCTACAATAGAATAGAAAAATGTCAACAATATTGAGTAGTGAGTTTGTGTAATAAAAAAATGTTTTTCTTAAACACAAATCTCTTTGAATACAACAATTCTAGAAATATTTGGAGCTTAGAAAGTGTACTTACTTACTGTCTTTACCTGGCGAATTTCAGAGCCAATATACTTTATATTATTTATATACAAAATCATTAATCATGTCTAAAGATTCTTCTTTTAATCCTGTTTGTACTTTGGCCATTTTTAAAAAATTAAATAACAATTTTAAAATAAATC